GGGACCAGCCCCCGCCCCCCAGATTCTACCCAGAAGCCTCTGCTCCACCCTCCCCCCCCACCAAGGCCCCAGACACCCCTATCCCAGAATCCTCTGCTCTCTCCTCCCAGGCATCCTGATGCATCCCACAAACCTCAGCTCCTACCCCCCAGAGCCCCCCAATACCCACAGCTCTATCCCAAAATCCTCTGCTCCCTTCCCCAAGCCCTCTCTGGATGCCCCAGAGTGGCCTGATACCCCCAGCCCTCAGTTTCTTCCCCTGCTGTCTCCAGAGGGCCCTGATACCTCCCGTCCAGTCCTGACCTATCCCAGAAACCTCAGCTTTCTTGCCCCAGCTGTCTCCAGACATGACCAGAGCCCTAGCCCTCACCCCTCCAAATACACCAATGCACTCTAAACCCCCTTGCCCTTTCCCAAATTCCGTTACCTTTTCTGCCCTCCCTGACCTTCTCCGGCCACTCTGTTTCCCACCTCCCCACCCAGGGGACTCCAGCACCCCCTGCCCAGCCAAGCAGCCCTGAGCATCCCTCTTGCCCCCTCCACAGCTCAGGGTCCTTCCCCTGACCAAACCCAGCACTGCCCCCAGCATCCCTCCAGTCCCTTCCCCCAGCCCAAGGGACCCTGGTGACTCCAGCCCATCCCCTCAGGGCAACCTGGCACCTCCTGTCCCATTCCTCCCCCACCACCACCCAAGGACCCCAGCTTCCTGCCCTCCCCCCTACCCAGGAGCCCTCAGCATCCCTCCTGCCCCCCCCCCCCAAGGGCCTGTGGCTTCCTGCCTCTCCCCCTCCCACAGGCCCAGTGCACCCCCGCAGCCCACGGGACCCTGGCATCCCTTTTGCTCCCCCATCCCACCATAGCCCAGGGGACCCAGGCATCCTTCCCCCCAGCATCCCTTCTACCCTCTCAGGGGAATCCAGTTCCTATTCCCCACCCCTGAGGGGCACCTCCAGCAGCCTCCCAGAGACCCAACATGCCCCACCCCAGCCCAGCAGGCTCCAGTATCCCTCCACCCCCAAAGACCAGGGGACCTTGGTGCCTCCTGCCCCCCTCAGAGAAACTGGTACCACTCCAGAACCTCCCAGGGGGCCCCAGCATGTACCCCCAGACCAGGAGGCCCCCCCGTGCCCAGGCACCTTGCGCAGGGAGGGCTCAACACCACCATGGTAGACGCGCAGCCGCAGGTCCTCAGGCCGGGCCAGGCGCCCATCAGGGCTCAGCAACGCATGGAACTCAGCTTCGTTCAGGGGCGGTGCTGGGGCTGGTGTCTCCTCACCCCCCGTCCAGCTCAGTGCCTGCTGTACCCGCCACAGTGTGCGCCCCACCTGGGAAACCATGACTTCTAGATTCTTTCTACCCACCTTCCACACCTACAGAGCCCCCACCCCAGGGCAGGGCTGGCAGCTCTGGCCCCACCTCATGGGGGAGGAACCCTACCAAGCCCCATCCCTGACCCACCTGGGAGAGGATGGCTTGGGTGAGAGGCAGGGCAGCAGCTGCCAGTGACCTGCGCTCCCCAGGCAATGGCTCTGAGCCCACCACATCCTTGGGGCTGATGATGTCCCAGTCCTCCAGCAGGGGGCCTGTGGGAGGAGAGGGGTTGGTGAGCTTGGAAGCCTGGGTTATCGGGGAGGGGAGGGGAGGCTGAAGGGTGAAAGCAGAAGGGGCTCAGAGCCTAAACACCTGTGTTCTCTAGTGGAAAAGAGGGCAGGCTGGAAGCCTAGTTAGAAGCTAAGGCTCCCTCCTAGCTCTGAGACAAAGGGGTTTAGGAGCCCAACCAGCTGTGTTCTCTCTATGGCTAATAAGAAACGTGAGTGCAGAAGAATGGGGTACTTGGACTTCTGGGTTCTCTGCATTCCGGGGTTTTCTTCCAGCTCTGAGTGAAATGCAGGGTCTTGGGGATTGGGAGCTGGAGGCAAGTACAGAGGAGGCTGGGAGCCTGGACACCTAGGTTCTCCCCCAAGCTCTGAATGGATGGTGGGGCCTGGAAAGTCAGGAGCCTGGATGCCTGGGTTCTCTCCTCCAGCCTGGGCAGCAAGGGAGGAGAGTGCTGGGTGCCCAGACACCTGGGTTTTCACCCAGCTCTGAGAAGCAAGTGGGGTGTGTTGGGGGAGGAAGGCAGGGGATTGGAAACCCAGACGCCTGGGTTCTTTCACAGCTGAGCAGAGAACAGGATTTAGGGGGATAAGCCCAGTTGCCTAGGCTCTCCTCCAGTTTGGACAGAAGAATGGGGCCTGCGAAGGGGGTCAGAAGTTTGGATGCCTGGGTTCTCCCACTGCTTAGGTTGGAGAGAGGGGGTGCACTCACTGTCCTCGGCAGTGCGGATGTCGACCCGGAGCTGCAGGTGGGGACAGGAGGCTCCAGTAAAGGCCACACCCAGGTCCCCGTCTGACAGCAGCGGGAACCAGGTGTCCTGACCCTGTCGGTCTCGGCCCATGTAGCTGATACCGAAGCTCTTTTTCCTGCCAGGGAGAGAAGGAACAGCATCAAGACATACAAAACAAGTGTCCAGGCTCCCAGCCCCTACTGTTCCCACCCTTCAGCCCCCCACCGCTAGGAACCCAGGTGTTTGGGCACCCAGTCTCACCTCCTGTGACCCCTCCCAGCCCCCACTCCCCTCCCAAAGAACCCAGGTATCTGGGCTCCTAGCACCCTACTACTCTCACCCCCCAGCCCCACTCCCCTCCTGTAGAAGCCAGGTATCTGGACCGCACCCGCCAAGATCGAAGGCACGAACTAGGATGTGCTGCAGGACATCAAATGACGTAATCTGGGGGTCGACGGCGAAGGAGCGATACTCGGGTGGCAGCAGCCCCTCACACTTCTGGGAGGGGATACAGGGCTGGGAACCCAGGTGTCCAGGCTCCCAGCCCCACCTGCTCTCATCCCCCAGGTGTTTGGGCTCTCAGCCCTCAACCAACACAGGCCCCTCCCCTCATCAAATAACCCAGGTATCTAGACTCTCTCCTTCCCCAGACAACCCAGATGCCCAGGGACCCCCTACCCCTTGGCCTGACCTTGAGCCCTGCACCTTGAACCCCACCCCAAGCCTTGACCCCTCCCCCCTCACCTTGACGCGCACGCGCACCACCTCGTGCTCGTCCTCGGTGCCCCCCTGAGACCCCCCCGCACTCGGAGCCGCCATCGCGGCCCCGCCCCCTACTTCTGGTCCCGCCTGCCGGTAGCTGACGTCATCGCCAGCCGCTGCACTGCTCTGCCCTCCCCGCCAAGAGCCGCCGGCGCCGGTGCGTGCCACAACATCCGGGGCAAGCCGGAAGTGCGTCACGGAGAGGGAGGGGATATGGGATTACTCTGGGTCGAGGCGGCTAGGTCTCAGGGAAAGGGAGAAACAGTTTCCGGAATGGGTTGTGAAAAGCCGGAAGTACATAACGGTAGGGGCCTGTAGTCCAGGGACTCCAGGTAATGGGGGAAGGAAACAAGGAGATATCTACTTCCTGGGTTAACCAGAAGTGCATGTTTTGGGAAGCGGAAGTGGGTCATAAGGATAGAAAGGGAAACGGACGTGGCTCCGGGGAGACTGAAATGGAACTGGTAGTGGTCCTAGTAAGAGGAAAAGCCTGTGGGAGGACTTTCGGGTGTGGGGGCGACCATCATAGACAGGGTTAGGGGAGTTGGTAAGTATTGAAGGGACGAATTCTATCCACTCCACCTCCCAGTGACTGGGCTTTTCCCAGCAAAAAGTGCCCCTGGGGGAATGGGAGGGAAGGGGACCACTTCCGAGAGAACCGGAAGAGCTAGCAATGTAGACGCACAGTGGGAGCCCTCTCCGGGAGTGTGTGGGGGAGGGGAGACGGCGGAAGTAGCGCTACCGCCCATCCGGGTCTTCACAGCTTCGCCTGGGAGGTTTTTATTGTTGTGGGGTTTGTTTGTTTGTTTGTTTAATATCAGCACATATTTGGGATTTTGCTCTGTTCAGTTTTTCCCGGTACTTTCTGGCTTGCACTAGCAAGGAGCTGCTGAGGGAAGGGAGAGATTGGACATAGGGGCAGCATGTGTGTCTGCACAGGGGCATGTGCGGGCCCAGCAGCTGCATGCAGGTAGGTCTTGGCCGGGCAGGGGCAGGAGGGCCATGGTTTGGCAACTGTCTGGGTGTATGTGTGGTGTGGGGCAGGGGGCTGGGTGCATGGGTGTGTGTATGCATTTGGGGGGGGGGTGGACAGGTGTGGGGCTCGGGCTGCATCATGGCAGGGGAGGCACCTGCCCCTCCACAAGGGGGCTGCAGTTCAGGAGTGAGGAGCACCAGCAGGGCTGTGGGGACTGGATCAGGAGCATGGGGAATAGGCAGTGCCAGGGTGCCGCTGGTCAGGAGTGAGGGGGTATCAGCAGGGACAAGGGGGCTGGGGAATAGGCATATCGCTACCCCCCCCCCCCAACTATATTACCTACTCCCCTCCCTGACCTATTTCCACTTTCAGGAAAAGAAGACAGACACCTGGTAACCAGTGGAAAGGGAATGGCCAAAAGTGATCTTGAGTGATGAGGAAACAAAAGGGTGGGACAAAAATATCCTGTTAGGGCAAAACTGCCCATGGTGTGGATGAGACTTTGAGTCCTACAGACTCAGCCTCTGTCCCACCCCCAACATAATTTTGTGAAATACAGCATTGTCCAAGAGATCTGTGGGAAAAAACCCTGAACTTACTGAAAATAAGGACTCCAGTCCTGTGGCCTGGTTGTGCACTGTGGGAAGCTGAAGGATGGCTGCCATCACTGAGAGCCCAAGATGGGTGCTGCCCCTGCCCCAAAACCCTTACAGCCACTCAGCAGCAAGGGACAGGGCTGTTCAGCCAGTCAATGTGCAAAACTGCAGCTGGCCCCACAATCTCCTGGTGAAGTTAGCTGGCTGCCTACTGGAGTACCCTACTCATCATGGGCAGCTGGTGTCTCCTGAGTCACGGGAGTACTTGCCCCTGCCCCCCCCCAGCAGCCAGTCAGAGACTGGCTGGAGGGGGTCTGTCCTGCAGCCAATTGTGCCAACCTGGATGTGCCAGGATGTGCTTCTCCTGGCCCCCCCACTCCCTGGCCGGTGCTCTCAGGGGGAACACCAGCATATCTGCCTGCCCGTCACCTAAGCAGGGAACACTGGCTGTCAGGGGGGATGACAGCACTCTCAGGGGGTGCATGTGCATCCCCTATGCATTGCCACTGCTACTTATGATGTTCCCCTTGGCCCATGATGTATAGGGCAGGGCACACCCTTCCCAGCTACTGCCTGACCTTAGTGCAATCATCAGCCCACTCGCATCATCACTTGAGTCTGGCCAAGGTGATGTTATTGCTATAGGTGAACCAATGGTAAGATGACTACATCTTTAATGTAGCTGAACCAAGACTATGACATCATTAGCTTTGGACCCAGGTCCAGGCAATGGCACATTGAGATCAAAATTGAGTCAAGGGCCAGGCTGTGTGACCTCAACCATATTGCTCCTGGCATGTTCATCCTGCATCTCCAGCCTTGTGGAAGGGGGGTAGAGGGATTTTTCCCCCACCCCGCAAAAGGACCCCAACACTGGGCAGGACCTGGAGCCTATAGGTACAGCTAGGGGCTGGATAGGGTTTCCACACTAGGGCCCAGAAACACACAAGAGGCCAGTGAGGCTAGAAAACACCTTTATTCAAAATAAACCTCCCCCCTCACACCACTCTAACCCAGATGGTCCCAGAGCTGCAGAGAACCCAGGAGTCACCCCTTGAAATCAAAGAGCTGTGGCTAAAAGTTTGGTGGCCTCTCCCCCTAACCCTGAGCAGGAAATAGAACACAGGTGTCTGGCTCCCCCCACACCAGGTGTAGGAAAAGAACCCATACCATCCTAGCTCTTCCTTCCCTATCTGAGGATGGAACCTAGGCACCTTAGTGTGGTCCCCCTGCCCCAGCCTGATCTGAGGAGAGAAGCCAGGCTTCCTGGTTTACTCCCTCCCAGTGTGGGAAAAGAACCCAGACATCTGGCTCCTCCTTACTGCTCTAGGGTTGGAACCAGATGTTCAGCCCCCCCTCCCTTCCTAAGCAGAAATCCAGCTGTCCTAGCTTACCCATCCTGATCTGGGAATCAAATCCAGGTGTCTAGACAGTGTCCCTGTCCTATCTGGGGAAAGAACTCGGGAAATCTTAACTCCCCCTGTTGGATGCAGAGAAGGAACCCAGTTGTCCAGGCTCCGCCCCCTGCTATTTTTAGAAATCCAAACATTATAAGATTTCTGTCCCTATATTTGCAGAAAGTACTCACACAGCTGGGCTCCCCCTCCTGATCTAGGGATGGAGACCAGGTGTCTAGGCTCCCCCCACCCCATCTGCAGGAGGAACCTAGGTATCTGAGCCCATCCTCCATCAGCAGGCCTTGCCCACGGGGGTGTCAAGGGCACGCTGCGCAGTGCAGAGATGGCGCCAGGCATCGTGGATCAGGGCTGCAGGCACCACAATCCACAGCCCATTGAGGAAGACAAAGTAGAACCAGAAGTACAGAGGGTGCCCTGCAGGCGTGTGGGCCAGCCCTGCCCGCAGCTCCGTCAGGAAGTACAACACAACCCCATACAGCTGGCCTGGGGAGGGGGAAAGAGGGTGTAGGACTTGGGTGTCTGGATGCCCAGATCCCCCTTTCCCCCCCAGTCCATTTCTGCTCCAACCCATCACTTGTCCCTCCTGGAGAACCCAAGCACCTGGGCTCCCAATGCCCCCAGGTCTAACACCCCAGTCCTGACTCCCCTCCCACAGAACCCAGGCACCCGGTGTCCTTCAACTCTAAACAATCAAGTCCTGCTCCCCTTGAGAGAACTTAGGCATCCAGGTTCCTAGGCACCTGCCCTAAACTACCAAACAAACCAGGTGTCTGGGTTCCTAGATCCCAGCCTCCTCTGTTCCAACCCACCATCCTCTAGTCACCTCCCAGAGAACCCGTGTGTCCACACTCCCAGACCTCCTGCTCTCACCCCACAACCCCCTCCCGTGCAGGGAACCCAGATGTCCAGGCCTCACCCATGGAGACGACAAGCTGTAGCAGGAAGCGACCAGGCCGGTGCTGCAGGAAGGCCTCCAGCGTGGCCAGGCTGAGTGGGCCCCAGGCCACAGCTGTCACTGTCTCCACACACACTGTAAAGTCATCCCCACTGTGGGGAGAAAGGGGTTAACTGGGGCCCATCCCCTCCAAACCGTGCTCCTGTAAGCCCCATTCCTTCTCTTCCATGTCCCCACCCTAATCCATTAAGCCCCACTTTCTTCTCCCTTTCAGCTGGGACATTCCAAGATCCAACTCTTTTTTTCTCCAAATCCTGCCCCTTCCTCTCCAAGCCCCAAACCTTCCAGGCCCTACCCTTTCTTCCCATGTCCTGCCCCTCCCCTGCAAACCCTGCTCCTCTTCCTCTGAGACCCACCCCCTTTTGAAAACCCTGCCTATCCCTTCAAATCTCACCCACTTTGTCTCCACATCCAACACCTTGAGCCCTCCCCCTCCCCCCAAACTCCACACCTTCTCTGCCAGTCCCACCCCCTGTGAACCCCACCCCTTCCCCAAGTCAGGACCCTTATGTCCCAATCCTCCTCTGCAAGCTTCTGAGCCCCAGCACAGCACAGCAGGGGGGGTGGGGAAAGCTGGTGCCCTTAGAGGTGGCCTGGGAAGGGGAGGGGGGGTTATGCTGGGATCCCAGATGCCTGGGTCCCATTCTCAGCTCCAAGCCCCCAACCCCACTTTCCTCCCAAAGAGCCCAGGTATCTGGGTGCCCAGGACCCAGCCCCTCCCCTTTCAGAAGCCTGGTGTCTGGCCCTGGCACTCACATGACATATCTGCTGTCGCCCTTAGCATACTCCTTCCCTGGGGGGAAAACAAGGCAAAAAAATCAGGCAGTTTTGGGGTGGAACCCAGGTATCGGGGCACTCCCAAAGCCCCCAGCTGTGTAACAGGTGTCCAAGTCCATCCTCAACCCTCCCCAGGCGTGGAACCCAGGTGTCTGGGCCACCCCAGCCCCCAACATGGAACCCTGGTTCCAGGCTCTCCCAGGCATAGAGCTGAAGCATCTGGATGCTCCCAACCCTGCCTTTCCCAAGCCTGACCCAAACACAGCACCCAGGCCTCCGAGTCCCGTCCAACCCTCTCCAGGCACAGAGCCCAGGCCTCTGGGCACTCACAGAGCTGGGAGAGGAAGGCCTGGTCCCCTGGCAGGCTGGTGTGGAAGAAGCTGAACCAGCCCTCGACCACCAGATGGATGAAGGCGCAGACGGTGAACCAGCAGAGTGCCAGGCGCCGCCAAGGCCCCTCCTGTGGGCTGCGGGCCCTGCCGCTGACCAGCCACGTGAGGGCTGCTAGGGAGCCGGCAGCCCCAAAGATGAATGCGACGCTATGCCAGGCTGGACGCTCATTGGGCAAAAAGCCCGGCACTGTCAGTCCCTGTGGCCAGTAGGGGTGTGGCGGGAGTGAGACCTCTGGTGCCATGGACTGGAGGGAGCGGAGCTTTACCTGTGAGGGAAGATAAAGAAGGTGGGGTTGGCATGGGTGGCCTGATGGGCAAAGGGACCTGGACACCTGGGTTCTGCGCCTGAGGGGCTGGCAAGGAACCCAGGCATCTGGGTGCCCAGCTTTGTGGGAAGGAGTTGGAGGCCAGGGCCACCCCGCGCCTGGGCCACCCACCGCTCCCGCTCGCCACACACCTACCAGCACTCCACAGCCGAACCCTAGGAGGCAACTGAACCGTGTAGGCTCGAAATCCTGGGCCCCTGACTAATAGCAGCATGTGTGGGCGGCAACGTGAGGCCACGGTAGCCAATGGCGATGAGAGGCAGCCAAGCATCTAATTTAGCCTGTCACTCCTTGGCGGCCAATGGAACGTGGGCCCGAGACCGAGCCTGGGAGCTTGAGCCAGGGCAGCTGCTGATTGGCTGCGGCAGTTGCTGAGGCGATATGGGCTCAGGGGTGGGGCTGACAGAACCAGCCAGTGCCGGACTAGGGGCGGGACATGCATCAGGAAGATATGAGGCAATTTGGACGGTGGGGGGAGGGCCCTAGAGAGCTCAGAAAGGCGTACAGCCATTGGCCAACAGGACCACCGCTCCCCTCCTCCTGTGACACTGCACCTCCATTGGCTGGGGGGGTGGCCCAGCCAAACCCTCTAGCCAATAGGATATAGGGAGATTCAGGCATGTCTAACATATAAAGTCTGGAACCAGAGCCCTAGAGCTGGGGTGACTTATGCCCAAAGTTCCAGGGCTGCAGCCGTTGCTGTACCCCAGAAGCAGTCTGCTCTTGACTAGGAAACTGGCCCAGCCCTGCCCTGGCCCCAGCCTGCCCCTCCCAACAGCCCCAAATGAACCCAACACAGCTGTAAGAATCTCTTTATTCAACCACTGTAAAAACCTCTTTAAATACAAATGACCCTCCCCTCCAGAAACGGGTTAATGCTGGGATCGGGGTGGTGGCCCCTGCCCTGGCAGGGAAGGGGCTGCATCCCTTTCCACAGCCCTTCATGCACAAGCCAGAAGGGGCAGAGCCAGTCTATGGGCATGGGGCAAGCAGCCCCTCTTGGCACCCTGAGAAGAAAAGGGGTTCACTGGTACTGCCTATAGCCTGGGTAGCCGGCTGAGTTGGGACCATCCTTGGGGGACAGTTGGCTTGGGTCCTCTGCAAAGGGATTGGCTGAGGAAAAAGGATATGGAGTTTAGGTGGTCCATTCCAGCAGTGCTCCCCATTCCAATCCACAGACCTCCTAGTGATGCACTTCACTCCCAATCTGTAGGCCCCCAGTCACCCAGAACTTCCCCTAACTCTCGACCTGCAGGCCCCGCCCTGTGTGTCCCTTACTCCTAACTCACAGCCTCCTCCTCTTAGTAACACACCTCACGCTGAACATGCAGGCCCCATCACCCTAACCCTCCTCAACTCCTTACGGTTCTGGAACTGCTGGGCCGTGTAGCGTGTGAGCAGGATGCCAAAGCCCTCAATGAGGGCCAGGAGAATGCCGCCCATCGTGGCTGAGCCCATCATGGCCAGAGGGCCACCTGCAGGAGGAGGGAGAGAGCCATGAACTGGAGAACAAATGGGGCTACCAGTCAGGAATGAGGGGCACTTTAAGCAGCTGCCTTTTCCCCAGAAATGTCTTCATTTCTCCTCAGGGAAAAGAGCGGGGCCGTGAGGCAGGGCTGAGTCCATCACTCACTGCGGGATGCGAGGACAGCGCCTGTGAGGGCCCCACTGGTGATGAAGTTCCAGGGATCCTCTTTGCCCCGCACCCGTACCAGTCCACAGTCGATGGTAGAGAACAGGCCACCCCACACTGCAAAGCTGCCTGGGTTTGGGAGAGGGGGGTGGGCAGACCATGCCCCAACCAACAAGACTCACCTCTAATTGCCCCCAGCTCCCCCTCTCCCCTTGGCCATGTCCTTAAGCCCCATTCCGACTACTGGGCCCCACCTGTAATGACCCCCAGGCCCACCTGTACCACCAGACTCTGTTATCATTTCCTCAGCCCTGCCTCCCACCACTAGGCCCTGCCCCAATGTCCCCCAGCCCAGCCTACCCATCCCAAGGCCACATCCCTGAATTTTTCTGCCCCTCAGGCCCTGTCCCCCAGCCCCAACCCACACCACCAGACCCCACCTTCCTACGCTCAGGACCTGCCCTCAAATTTACTTGGCCCCACCTGCTACCCCCAGGTCCTCTCCCTCAGCCCCAACCCCCTCTGTCAAGCCCTGCCCTAAAAGTTTCCCAGGCCTGTTCCCACTACTAGACCCTGCCCCAGTGTCCTTCAGTCCCACTCCTAATTGGCAGGCCTGCAGCCCCTGAAATTCCCTGGCCCCACAACTAGGCCCCGCCTCCTCACCACCAGGCTCTCTCTCAATTGCCCTACCCTCACCCCCACAGCAAGGCCCTACTCTCCTGTGCCCCCCAAATCCCTCAACTCACCTCCAATCTGGGGGGCTCGGACCCGTACAGCATTGACACTGCCCCGAAGCCGGTGTTGAACACCCTGCATTGGAATGGGGGGGCGTGGAGGAGAAAAGGGTTGTGGAGTGCACAGGACACGTTCGGGTCAGCTGTGATTCCTGCCTTCCCCTCTGCCCCCACCCCCCAGAACACTGTCCCCCACCTCCCTGAATCTGTGTGAGGGTGGGGCAAAAATAGAGAGGAGCTTTCAAAGGTAAAAGGGGCAGAGCAGGACCATGCAGTGGGCAGGGCTTGAGGGGATAAAAGGAGGGTAGGTGAGGCCAGGCCACTCACCATGGGGGCATTGCGGAAGCCCTTGATGGCCTGGAAGACACCACCACCAAGGATACCCATGGTGAAGGCACCGCCGCAGTCATCCACAATGCGCCAGGGGCTGCAGGACAAGGTGGGGTGGTGTGGGGGTTGGGAGTGAATTGGGAATAGCCCTCCTCCCCACCAACTTGGCCGGCAGTGGAATAACTCACCCATAGAACCCAAAAGGGTGGGCGGTACCAAGTGGCCATTAATGTGGGTGACCATGTAGGGGGTTAACTGTCAAAAACTAGTCCTGCCTTAGCCCCCAATGGCCTCACCTGCCCCACGGGATGAGAGATACTAAGTGGCTAGGATTATGGGTGTGTCAGGAGTGAAGAGCCATCACCTCCACACAAAATGGACTGGTCCACCCATAGACAACCCCACCCCAGGGGAGGGAGATACCAAGTGCCTGGGAATGGGAACGTGAGAGTTCCGGGAGCAGACAAAGAACCCCCCCCAGCCCCAGCTACAATGGCCTCTCCCACCCATGGAACGTGGGGTGAGAGGTACTAAGTACCGAAGAATGGGGTAGGTACCTGCAGGGAGTCAGATGTAAGGAACAGCCACTCCCCTGCAACACTCGCCCTCCTACTACACAATACCTCTAGCCCCGTTAAGGGACCGGGAATGGAAAAGGAAGTAATTTCAAAGGAAGGGGCGCAATCAGCTATCAAAAGCCGCCCCCGGCACCTCGCAATAGACTAGCCTAATCATAGAACCTAGCGGGGCAGAAAGTACCAAGTGGCCGGGGGGGGGGAAGAGGAGAAGTGAATTTATTGCTTAATATTACATGACGAAACCAGATATCTCCGACCCGGCCCCGTTACCAAACATGGAATAGCCCAAACTGACCCGGGTCGGCGGGCGGAACTAGAAAACAATAGTTCCCCTCCACCCCACAATTCCGAATGGATTCGTCCGTTCCCTCCCACCCCCCAAACGGCGAAATGGACTCGGCCACCCCAAGAAGAAGCCTAGGGCACATCCACTGACCCATTCCTGGAAGCTGTCCCCCTCCCTCTGTGCCGCTGCCGCTGTTACCAGGGATCCCGGCCGTATTCTTCCATCGCGCCAGGCAGCGGCCTCACGGGTCATGTGACAAAGGAGAGGCAGGACTACCCTTTCTCCCAAGTCCGATCTTAATCACGTGGAGGCGGGGCGCTACGGGTCCCTATTGATCACGTGGAAAGGGCAGGTGGATGAGAGAAACACCGGCTCTGATTGCTCAGGAGCGGCACCAGCTTCGTCACGTGACAACGGGAGTTTTGGGGGTGTTTTTTGTTTTTTCGTAGACCACTTGTGATTGGCTGGCTGCTGTCACATGAAAGCGAGCCGTTCCTCTCTAAACGGCGTCACGTGACAAGGGAACGCTCATTTCGCCGTTCTGATTGGTCATCTGCTGTCACGTGATACCGGTTCTCTAGTCTGTTTTCTGTCCCCGGCACCCCCTGTATGTGACAGCCGCAGCACTGGAATTGGCTGGCGCGTGTCACGTGTTGCAGGCAAGGGTGGGCCTTGAAGCCACAGAGGCGCCTGATTCGCCTGCGCTGACTCGGGAGCGTAGCTGGAAGTTGCAGGTGGGGAATGATGGGGTCCCAGGACCCCACGTGCTAGGAAGTTACTATGGGAATAGAGGGGCTTCAGGGGAAGGATGTGAGGGCGGGGCTAGCATAAGGGGCGTGGCGGTGTGGCGCGCAGCTCCGCGCGCAGCTCCACCCCCAGGAACCCCCTCGCTGACCCCGCTCCCCATCTAGCTGTTCCAGATGCCGCTACCTGTCGCGCTCCAGTCCCGCCTAGCCAAGAGGGGCCTGCTCAAGCACGTGGAGCCTGGTGAGCGCCCCCCCCCCCCCAATGCCCACAAAGCCATTGCAGATGCTTCACGTTGGGAGTGAGGGGCACCAGGATGGCGGGAGGGCTGCAGGTCAGGAGTTAGGGGCACCCAAATTGGGGAACTTTGGGTCAGGAGTGAGGGACTCTGGGGGGAGCGGGGGTTGTGGGTTGGGAGTGAGGGATGACCCTCCCCGCACTTCCTTTCCCAGAGTCCCAAGGAACCCAGGCATCTGGGCTCCCAGCACCCCCCTCCACTTTAACTCCCCCGACTTCTTTCCCCCCAGAGCCAGAGGAGGAGATCATTGCAGAGGACTATGATGATGATCATGTGGACTATGAGGCCACACGGCTTGAGAACCTGCCCCCCAACTGGTACAAGGTCTTTGACCCTATCTGGTGAGGGCCTGTTCCCCAGGGGCTCCCCCTAGAGTTTGGTGCATCTCAGCCCTAGTTGTATGGTGTTATCCTTGGCTATCTTGATTGCCCTACCCTAGAGCTGGCTGCATTTTGACCTCTTCTAGGCAATGTTGTACTCTGCTGTTCCTTGCCTGCTCCGCCCCAGAGTTGGGTGCTTCTTAGACTTCTCTATGCCATGTTATACTCAGCTGTCTTTGCCTGTAATAGACCAAAATGCAGGTGGAGCTCAGGTGGGTTACCAGTGTTATACTCGGCTGTTCTCCATCTCCACCCTGGAGCTGGGTCCATCTTGGCTTTCTTTGAATGCTGGTATACTTGTAGCCAGTTCTGAGAGAGGGCATCATTCCAGCTTATTCCAGTTAGTATTATACTTCGCTATTCCCTTCCTGTTCCACCCCAGAGCTGGCTGCATCCTAGCACTCCCCATGGGAAGTTAAATTTGGTTATTAGCCACCTACTCCACCTCAGAGCTGGGTACTTCTGGGCTGTATTTACATGGCATTATATGGGGCTGCTCCCAGCTCTCCTCCTGTTCCAGAGTTAGCAACATCTCAGCCGTCTTGGTGTTGCTATACCCAATCATTCCTGACCTGCTCCACCCCAGAGCTGGCTGCATAGCTGCCCTGTATATGCCCTATTATGCTTGGCTGTTCCCTGCCTTCTCCACCCTAGAGTAGGCTGCATTCCCACCCCCCCCCCCCCCACTCATTACTACCCCTTTGCCTCCACCAGTGGTCTACCCTATTACTGGAATGTGGATAATGACCTGGTGTCCTGGCTGTCCCCTAATGATCCCAACTCTGTCATCACCAAGGCCAGCAAGAAGCTAAAGAACAACCTAGGTAAAGAGTGGGGTGGGGCAGGCCCTCAAGACAACTGGGTTGCCAACTTAGAGGAAGTGGGAACTGGGGGGCCTAGACACCTGAGTTCCTGCCCCAGAGTGGGTGGGATCTGGGAGCCTGGACACCTGGGTTCTTTTCTCCCTTCTCGGATGCCTGGGTTCCCTCTCTGGAATGGGTAGGGGCTGGGGGACTTGGATACCTAGATTATCTACCCTCCCATCCCCCTCTCTCCACTCAGAGGCAGAAGAGAAGCCTGAGCGCCTGTACGAGGAGGCTAAGGAACGGCGGTTCCATCGCCGGGAGGAAATTTCCCCCTACAGCAAGAGCAAAAAAGGTGGGCAAGGCCTGGGGGAGGGTCATGGGCTGGTGGGATGAGATGGGAGTGGGGGGACGGGACACTGTTGGGGTGGGGCTAAAAGTGGAGGGGCTGGAGCTGGAGGCAGTTGGGGTGGAGTCAAGGAGGCACTAAGCAGGGCCCAGATCCAGTCTGGGCAGACCTACATCAGGCTCCCACCCACTCTCAGGGAGCCGGAAGGATGAAGAGCTTGACCCCATGGACCCCAGTGCCTACTCAGATGCCCCCCGGTGAGTGCTGGGGCAGTTAGAGGAGGGGCTTCTGAGCCCAAGGGGTGGAGCCTAACAGGTGGGCAGAGCCTAGCTGTACTGAGACCGGAGGGGGTTGGCAGTGGAGCCTGCAGCTGATGGGGATGGCGGGGCCTGATGGCTGGGGGCAGGGCCAGTTCTTAGGGGGCTGGGGCCTAGGTCTTTAAAATCAAGCTAGTGGGGGCAGAGCCCCATGGGGGTGTGGCCATCTTTTTAGGGGCAGTATTAACGGTGGGCAGAGCCATATGGGGGTGGTACTAACTCCCTGGGGTTGGAACGAAGGGTGGGTAAAGCCACATGCTAAGGCTAGTGCCTTGGTGGCAGCCAGGGCGGGGTGGGGGGGCTAAAGGTGAGTGGAGCAACATGGAGCATGGCCCACTCCCTGGGGGTAGGGCTAAGGGTAGGCGGAACCACATGGGGGCAAGGCTAGCTCCTCTGGGAGGGAGGAGAGATTCCCAGGGCCTGTGGCTACTAGGGGCTTAGGGCCAGCCCCCCAGGGGGCATGGCCAGCCCCTTGACCTTGCCCCGTTCCCTGGGCAGGGGTACGTGGTCGACGGGGCTGCCCAAGCGCAACGAGGCGAAGACTGGGGCTGACACAACGGCTGCAGGGCCCCTGTTCCAGCAGCGACCCTACCCCAGCCCTGGCGCTGTGCTGCGTGCCAATGCCGAGGCCTCACGTGCCAAGCAGCAAGAATGACTGGGCCTGGATGACCCTGGGAACTCTGAGCCTCCCCACAGGGACTCCAGGACCCCCCCTTAAACCTCACAGGCCCTCTCTGGGACTGCTTAGGCCCCCCAGACCCCCTTGGGATCCTCTATAGAGTCCCCCCATGGGGAACCCAGGATCCCTCCAGTCCCCTTGAAACCCTTTGATTCCCCTAAAGCCCACCAACAGGGAACCCAGGACTCTTCCAGAACCACCCCCCCCCCCAGGGAGCTCAGGACCTCCCAATACCCCCTGCCCCAGTCCCCCTCCATGGGAACCTACTGTCACCTACTGGCAGTGAGGACCCCCAGAGCCCCCTTTTTGGTGTCCCAGCACCCATACAGAGATCTCCCTCTTTGGGGCCCTTAAACCCTGCCCCGGGAATCCCTCAGACCTCCTTTCCAGTGCCTTCCCTGCTCAGAAGCCCATATGGGGACCCCCCAGACCCCACCCAAAATTCCCTGTTTTGATATAATAAAGCTAGTGCGGTGGAGCCAGACTGAGGCCAGTACAGGGCACGGGGTGGGGCGCTGGGGGTAAGAGAAGGGGTTACCTGCCCCAGTATCTGCCAAGATCATGGGGTGGGGGGAAGGTTACATTCACTTGCTGTTAGACAGAAGGGGCAGAAGACCAGCTGTAACCCACCCTAGCCCCTGAAGAGAACCCAAGTGTCCGGTTCCCAGCCCCCACCACTGTCCCAGAGAACCCAGGCATCTGGTCTCCCAGACCCTTACAGATGACGCTGATTCAGTTCTTAGTTTAGGAAAGCAGCATTAGCACCACAATAAATAGTCAAAACTCCAGTAAAAAAAAAAAAAGTAGGTGCAGGCAGAACCCCCACCTCCTGGCCCCAGCACCACTCTGATGTATAGAAACACACAGGGAGAGCAGGCAGAGACCCCTGGTGTCCAGGGTTCTGGCTCTAACACTACCCCAACAGGTTCCCTTCCCCTCCCCTCCCTTGCTAGAGAACCCGAGCATCTGGGTTTTAAGCCCCTGGCCTCACCAGGAAACCCAGAAGTCCAGGCCCCCTGACCTCCCCCAAGCTGGGGATGGAACATAAGCACCTGGACTCCCAGCCCTCCCAGCTCCAATGCATACACCCCCTCCCAGGGAACCCAGGCATCTGGACTCCCTCCCCCTACAGTCTAAATTTCCAGCCCCCAGAGAACCCAGGCATCTGGACTCCCAGTCTGCCTGCTCTAACCCCAGAGCCCCTATTCCCTCCCCAAGCACCCCAGATCTGATGGGGGGGGGGGGATAAGCTGAAACCTTCCTGCCCCACTCCTTGCAACCAGAGCTGGGGGCGGTTAGCTCCAAGGCGGGGAGAGCTCGCCTGGCACCAGGATGTGGTCAGCTCTAGGGTGGAGCTGCTGGGGAACAGCTGAGTAGAACAGGCCTGGATGTGCCCAGCTCTGAGGTGCCACAACTCAGAAAAGGCTGAGCAGAACAGGCCAGGATACAGCCAGTTCCGGAGCGCAACAGCTGGAGTTGGGCTAAGTATATCACTTCCTGGAGAGGACCGAGCTGCATCCAGCTCTGGGGTGGATCCATGTAGCTGAGGGCTGCAGTCAGGAGCCCTTCTCCTTTTCTGGTGCCCTGGAGGGGGAAGAAGAGAACAGAGGCAACTTCAGGTAGGGAAGGTGTCCAGATCTGGAGTGGGCAATGGCAGAGTATGGCAGCCAGTTCTGGGTTGAAATGGCTTAACAGGGCAGTGAGAGCCCAGATGCAGCCAGCTCTTTGGAAGGGGAATGGCTGATTATAATGCCCCTAAAGGAGGGCTGAGATGTAGCCAGATCTGCAGCAGAGGTGCTAGGGAAGGGCTGAGTACAACAGAACACCAGGAGGACCAAGATGCACCTATCACGAACTATAACAGGCCAAGATGCAGCTAGCTCTGGCATGAGGAACAGCTTAGTATAAGAGGCCAGAATACAACCAGCTCTGGGGTGCAACTGCTGGGGTGTAACAGGGCAGTGAGAAAACCCAGATGCAGCTAGCTCTGGGGACAAGAAATAGCTGAGTATAACAGCAGAGGCATCCAACTCAGATGGATCAGCCAAATATAACTGGCCAAGATCCAGCCAGGTCTGGCCTGAAGAACAGCTGAGTATCACAGGCAACAATGCAGTCAGCTCAGGTGGAGCTGCTGGGGGCCAGCAGGGAGAGCCACGAGGCACCTAGCTCTAGAGTCCAACAGCCAACTACAACAGGCCAAGAAGCAGTCAGCTCTGGGGTGTAGCAGCCAGGGGATAGCCAGGCACTGAGGGGTGGCTAGCTCTCATATGGATTGGCCAAGTGTAACAGGCTGAGATTTAGCCAGCTGTGGGGTGGGGCTGTTGGGAAGCGGCTGAGAGAACAGGCCAAGATGCAGCCAGCTCTGGGGAGCAGCACTCCTCCCTCCCTTACTAAGGTTGAGATCCCGGATGCCTGGGTTCCCTCTTCCTCTGCACCCCTACTATAAGCCAGTTCACACCTCCCCCAGTGGGGACTCTTGGGTTCTTGCCTCAGTGTCCCCCAAGGCTTGGGACACAGGGGTGGGGCTTGTGGAGGCCCACACTACTTTCTTTTGAGGCAGCCAGCTCTTAAAGGGCTCTGCCCCCCACCCCCCCAATGGTGTTAGAGTGCATGTAGGCCCCGCCCCCTCCGGACACGGAAAAACCCAGGATAAATAAATAAGGCTCTTTATTGGACAGCAGCTTTCATGATGCATGGGCCCTGCCCCTCCCCTACAAAAGACCCCACCCCTCCTTTAAAAAAACCCAATGTACAGTGGTGCTGACCTCCCCTGCCTAGAGCCAGCACTGCCACCCTCTTTCCCCCCTCCACCAGCTTGGTGAAATGGAGTTACTTAGCAAGGGTGGGGAGAAAGAACCTGGGGGGGGGGAGCAGTAGGTCTCTGATGGGGAGGGAACCCAGGCATCCGGGCTGTGAGTGGTAAATAAACTGGGGTGTAGGGTACAGAGGAACCCAGGCATCCGGGTAGGGGGTTAGTGTTGCTTTAAAAAGAAACTGAGCTACAGACCTGGAGAGAGAACCCAGCTGTGTGGGCTCCCACTCCTGTCCCAGTGTGGGGAAAGAACTCAGGCCTGGGCAAGGAAGGGAGGCAGTGCCAGATTCCTAGTTTCCCCCCACCCATAACACTAGGAAGCAAATCACACAACAATAATCACCTCTGACATGTAGATGTGCTGGCCCTTTAAGAACAGGTTTCTTCTCCCCACCCCCTCCATGAGATTACTGTCCTTTAAGACTGGTCATACCCAGCAGCAGCCCTGCCCTTGAGGCCACTTGACCGACTCTTGCCCTGCCCTCGGTCACAGGGCTTTTAAGAGGCAGGAGTCCCTCAGTGACAACCAAGAGGCAGGACCAGCCTAAAAGGGCTAGTATACTCTTGGACTCTGCCCCTCTCTGACATTCCCACCCCTCCTCCAGAAGCCCAGGCATCCGGTGTCACTAACTTGGCAGTAGCAGGAGAAAACTGTTGACCCCCCCCCCACTCTATACTGGGAAGTTACTGGGAATACTGGGGAGGGGGCTCAGAGGTGGAGAGTGGAGCACTGGGCAGCAATGGGATAGACTGGGAGCGAGGAAGATTAGGTCTGTGGAAGGTAACTCAGGAAGAATGGCAGGGGGACGGGACAGGATGGGACTGGGAGGTGGGGTACTGGGCCATATTAGGCTAACTGGGATCACTCTGTTCTCCCAGCCAGCCAGCCATACTGGGACACTACCTGGTCATAATGGGCTAGCTGAGGACATCATATTCCTCCAGACAGCTGTACTGGAACCTCAATTTGCCATACTGGGCTAACAGATTCCCCATCACTTTCCCAACCCAGCCATACTGGGAAACCTGGAAGGCCCCCAGCTGGCCATACTGGGAACCCCTCATCATCATTCTCCCCCTCCCCCCAAACCCATCATCACTTCCCCAGCACTGACTTTCCCACTCCTGTCTCCGGCCCAGGGGGCTGAGGTCCCAGTGGGGCCTGCGGCCCAGGCACCTTGTCCCCTTGGCCTGGCCCGCTGCGGGGCAGGCTATAGAGGTAGACAGCAGCCAGCACGAGGCTAGCACCGAGCAGGAAGGGTGGGTCTGGACGGAAGCCGAAGAGCCCCACTGAGGCAGCTGTGGAGGCCACGATGGAGAGCGATGTGGCAAAGCCCTTGAGGATGTTGTCGGCATATTTCACCACCACGGCCACCAGCAGCCCCCCCAGTGCCTGGTTCAGCACCACAGCCCACACCAGCGGTGTGTAGGCATAGAAGAAGCCCCGATGGGCAACAGCTGGCCCATCCGTCAGCCACATGCCCAGCAGCCCCAAGGCTGTGCCAAAGAGGCCCAGCTGCAGGTTGCGGAGCCACACTGAGGCTGCGCCACCCTTCAGCAGTCGCTCGAAGTAGACGCCAGCGAAGCCTGAGGACAGGCAGGAAGCTGCCACCGCTGCCAGGCCAGCTGCATAGCTCTGGGATGGCTGGGAGGCATCTCCAGCTGTGGCTCCCCCCACCTCGGCACCCCCAGCCTGGCCAGCTTGAACGGAGGCCACACCGAGGAATAGAAGGACCAGCGAAAACCACTGGAGACGTGAGAGGCTTTTGCCCAGGAGGAGAACGGAGAAGAGAGCAGTTGTGAGGATCTTCAGCTGGTAGGTGACCTGTGGAGGGGGATGGAAAGGAGGGGTGAGAGATGGCTGGTGCTGGGATGGAACATCTGGGCAACAGGCTGAATGTAACAGGCTAAGATGCAGCCAGCTCTGGAGTGAAACTGCTGGGGAACAGCTGAGTGTGTAACAGGCTGGAATGTGCCCAGCTCTAGAGCAGGGCAGCTGGGAATGGCTCAGTATAACTGAGTGGGAAGTGACCAGCTCTGGGGTGGAACAGCTGGGGAATGGTTCAGTATAACAGGCCAGAATGCATCCAGCTTGTGGTGGGGGAGAGGGGGGACACAACAGCTGGGGAATGGTTGAGTATAACAAACTGGGAGGCAGCCAGCTCTGGGAGGGAACAGCTAAGAAATGGCTGAGCATAATCTTTTAAGATGCCCCCAGCTTTAGAGCAGGGCAGATGGGAATGGCTGAGCATAGAAGGCCTGGATTCAGCTAACTCTGGGGAGGGGTGGCTGGGTATAAAAGGCCAAGATGCAGCCAGCTCTGGGATGGAACAGCTGAATTTAATACACTGGGATGTGTCCAGCTCTGGGGAGCAACAGCTGTGTAAAACAAGCCAGGATGCAGCCAGCTCTAGGAGGGGATAGCTGGGGACTAGCTGAGGATAACAGTAGGATGCAGCCAGCTCTGGGGTGGAACTGCTGAGGAACACCTACGTGTGTAACAAATCAGAATGTGGCCAGCCCTGGGGGTGGTATCCAAGTATAACAGGCTGAGATGCACCCAGCTCTGGGGAGGAATGACAGAGTATAACAAACTCAAATGTGACCAACTCTGGGGCGAGGAATGGCTGGGAACTGGCTGAGTCTAACACCCCATGTAGAGGATCAAGATGCACCCAGCTCTGGGGTGGACTGGCTGAGTATAACAGGCTGGGATGTGTCCAGATCTGGGGAGGAACAGCTGGGGACTGACCGAGTCTAACACCCCATGGAGAGGGCCAAGATGCAGCCAGTTCTGGGGAGGAATGGTTGAGTATAACAGGCCAGGATGCACCCAGCTCTGTGTGGGGAACAGCTGGGTATAACAAGCTAGGATATGCCCAGATTGAAGGGGAAGGTGCGGGAGACTGAGTCTAACAGACCAGGATGTGCCCAGGTTTCTGGTGGCGGTGGGGGAAAGCTTAGTCTAACACCCATGTGGAAGGCCAAGATATGCCCAGCTCTGGGGAGGAGCAACCAAATATAATGGGCCAGAATGCGCCCAGTTCTGGGGGAGGGAGTGGACAACAATGACACATAGATGGTTATTACCAGCTAGGATGTGTCCAGCTCTGAGAGGGAATAGCTAGGGACTGGCCAAATCTAACATCTCACGGAGAGGGTAAAGATGCTGTCAATTCTAGGGGGAAACAGCTGAGTGTAATGTGCCAGGATGCACCCAACTCTTGGTGCATGGGTAGAATAGGCTGGGATGTGCCCAGCTTGGGGTGGGGGGAACCACTGGGGATTGGCCTAGTCTAACAAGCCATGTAGAGGGCCAAGATGCAGCCAGTTCTGGGGAAGAACAGCTGAGTACAACAAGCCAGGATGCACGCGCGGGGGGGAAATCCCTTGCTGACCTGGAAGGTGGCGGCTGGCAGGTTGGAGATAGCCACATACTGCAGGTTGTTCTGCAGGGTATAGATGAGCGCTGGCACGGCCAGGCGCAGGGTGTCGCCTCGCTGCACCACCAGTGCCTCGTGCAGCGCCAGCCCCAGCGCTTTCATGCTGCCTGCCGGGTGGGGGGCGAGGGGGAAGGGTTTCAGCTGGGGATGGAACCGTGGCTGACCCCGTCCCCTTGTGGGTCAAGCCATCTCCCCCCACTGGTGCCAGGCCCTGCCCCCTCAATACCTCCTAGGCCTCTTGTAAAAAGGAGGCCACTGGGTAGGGTTACCATATGTCTGGGTTTTCCCCGAACACATCCTCTGTTTGGGTCCTCCCATTTCCATCCTAGCAGGTTTTTAAAATATCAACAAATGTCTGGAATTTTTGTTCTGCCTCTGCTTTCCTGGTACTTCCTGGACTGCCCCAGCAAGGAGTTGCTTGGGGCTCGGGGAAGGGGGCACAGGATGATTGGAGGCAGGGGCATCACATGCTCTGCATGCAACCCCAGCACCTGCAGGCAGGTAAGTCTGTGTGTGTATGCATGTGCACACACGTGTGCGCCTGCTGTTGCTGTGGCTGCAGCAGGGCGGGGAAGGGGGTGGGACGTTCTTCAGGGACAGCAAGGCACTGCATGGGCAACAGGGCTGAGGCAGGGAAGGGGACTGCAGGTTGGGAGTGCGGGACATCAGTATGGTCTGGGGGGCAGTGAACTATGGGTCAGGAGTGAGAGGCAGCAGTAGGGCTAGGGAGGCTGTGACTTGGGAGTGAGGGGCAGGGGTAGGGCACAGCTATATCACAGCCCCCCCATCATACACCTCCCCCCCCCCGCCACATAGGTGTCCTTTTTGAAACCGGAAATATGGTAACCCTACCACTGCTCCTGCCTGAACCCTATCCACCTGGCCCAGCTAAGCCCTTCTCCCTCCTGGAACAAGGCCCAGCCCTCCCACCCTCTTCCTTTCCCCAAGCCTGACCAGAAGACCAGGCCCTGCCCGCCCCACCCCAGGCCCTGTCTTCTCCCCTCAAACCCCTTGCCCAGGCTGGGCCCTGCCCTTCTAGCCCAAAGCCCACCTCCTCCCTTTCCTGAGTCCCACCTCCCAGGCCAGGCCCCACACCCTCCAACCCATAGCTCTGCCCCCCCAGCTAAGCCCCATTCCCCACAGGCATCTCACCACGGTGCTGCAGTAATAGCAGTAGGAGGCAGGTGCCACCCTTGAGCAGCTCGGCTAGGACTACAGCGGTGGTGGGCAGGAAGCGTGGCCCTGGCTGCGTCCGTGCATAACGGATGCTCAGGATCAGCGATGCATTCTGGAGAACCAGCACAGCCAGGCTGGCCTGACGCACTCGCCGCCGGCCTGGGAGGGAAAACGGGGATGGCAGGGTGGGGTTAGAGCAGGATCGGGACCCCCAGCTGACTTAACATATCTGCTGCTGGCCTGGTGGGAGAGAGAGGAGGCACTATAGCAGGATCTGAACCCCACAGAGCCCCCCAGTATGACCAGATTAGCCTGATGCACCTGCTGGTACTCTGTGGGGAGAGATACAGGGGGGTTAGAACAGGATTGGGACCCTCACAGAGCACCACCCCCATGGACTACCCCCAGCATAGCCAGGCTGGCTTGAGACCAGAGATGGGGGATTAGAGTAGGATTGGGACCTCCATGGAGCCCCCCAGCACCAAGCCAGCCTAATGCTGCCTCTACTTTGAGAAAGGGGATGAGGTAGGGGGTGAGAGTATGACAAGGACCCCCCAGCTCTGAGTTGAGCAGCTGAGTATAACATGGCCTGGCTAAGATAGCATGGAGCTGGGATGGGGTGTCTGGGGAACAGCTACATATAACACTATCTGGAAAGGTCTGAGATGTGCCCAGCTCTGAGGCACAGCAGCCGAGGAAGGGTCAGTAAAAAGGACACAGATGCACCTAGCTCTAGAGTTGGAGAGCTGGGGAATGGCTACGCCAAGCCCTAAGGTGGGAGGGCCAGGAAACAGCCAAATATATATAACACTCCATAGGGGAAGGCTGAAATATGCGCAGCTCCAGGGTAGGACAGCTGGAGAACGGCCAAATATAATAGTACCCAGGGAGGGCCAAGATGCACCCAGCTCTAAGCACTTAAGGAAGAGCTGAGTATAAGGGGCCCAGATGCAGCCAGCTCTGGGGTGGGGTGGCTGGGGAACAGCTGAGTATAACAGCACCTGGTGAGGGCCCAGATGCAGCCAGCTCGGGCTGCAGCCACCAGTAGGATATGCCCCCTGCTGGATGCACAAATGCTCCAGCTCCAGCCCTGTCCAGCTGAGCAAACATCCTGCTCCCGCCCCTCCTGGCTGGCGGCTGCGAATGGTGGTGTGGTTGGACCAATGGAACCACATTCCACCCCTGGGATCAGGCCCAGTTGCACCTGCTGGGGGAGGGGACAGAAGGAGTGTGGATATGGGCAAGATGTGCCCAGCTCTGTGGTGGAATGGCTAAGTGCAACAAGACAGGGAGAGGACTAGGATGCGGCCAGCTCGGAGTGAGGGTGAAGGGACAGATAAGCAGAACAGTATGCAGCTGATTTTGGGACGGGACAAGGGTTAAACTGCAGGCCTGAGATGCAGCCAGTTCTGAGGAAGGCAGCCGCGTAGGACCCGCATGCCTAAAACAAAATGCAGCCAACTCTGGGGTGCGGCAGGGGAGAGCAGCAGAGCACGACGCCACTCGGAGAGGCCCGAGATGCGCCCAGGTCTGGGGCAGAGGCGCTGGGGAAACAGACGAGTGTAACGAGGCAGGGAGCGGACCGAGATGCGGGGGCAAGGCACCCCCAAACGTTACACTCGGCCGCTCCCCCCCCGAACTAGCAACTCTCGACCCTTCCCCCCGGGGCGTCAAACTCGCCCAGAGCGAGCGGGTGCATCTCGGCCCCGCCGCCGGGCCTGCCACGCCCCCGCCCTTCGGTTCCCTCGGCTCACCCCCCGCGGCCGCCCGGTCCCCTCCCG